TGGAGTCCCTGGTTTTAACCTGAAATGGTTTAAAATAGAAATTTTGTTAGCTTTTTGCATGTTTGGATTTTGTGTGTGTTCTGTTTTTAACTTTCAACTTGAGTTTTAAGATCATCAATCAAAGGCTTTTCTTTCAAGTCAGTGCCACTCATCTCAATTGCAGGACTTGGACGGTCAGCATTTCCCTCATGCTATTAAAAACAAAAAATTAAACATTGAAATAGAGTATTTTAGGAATTTAAGCTCCACTGATCTTTTCATCACAGTCTACATTTTGAAATGAACAAATAAATTGTATATAAAAAAACTCAGGAAACGTTCTCCCACTCTGTTTCCCTGTCTGTCCCTCCTTAACTCTTTTTGGACAAAGGTAAATTATCGACCGCTGTATGAGCTTTCAGCAAGCTACAAGAGGGGCTGATTATAGCTCTCCGTGTTTTAAAATATACATTCATTTACTCAAGCTGTCTGCTTCCTTTATTTGAATGTTTGCCTGCACACATTTCCTTTTTCCTTTTGAACTATTGAAAATGTGTCTCATCTCCCAGCATTCTATAACCCCAGTGGACATTATAGTCAGCCTGCACTTTTGTCTTTCAGATGGCATTTATTTGTGGGGTGTGTATGTCTGTGTCTGACTGTCGGTGGTTTTCATCTGCTGAATACAACTAATTTTTGTTTACGGGTTTCAGTGAAGCAATGAAAACAAAGTATTGACATCCAAATTGATGGCCGTTGCAGGACCTCGTACATCTCCCCACCCACACCCCAAATTCAGAGTGAACTGGTTAGCCTCATTATTCATAATCTCAGTTGACTGCATCAAATGTAGTCTTCGAAGTTTTGCTTCCAGATAGAATTCTATGATGAATAATATTATAAATTAAAAACTTTACCGTTTTTTTTTACATTTATTTATTTTTGAGAGACAGAGACAGAGCATGAGCAGGGGAGGGGCAGAGAGAGAGGGGGAGACACAGAACCCGAAGCAGGCTCCAGGCTCCGAGCTGTCAGCACAGAGCCCAGCACGGGGCTCGAACCCACGAACCGTGAGATCATGACCTGGGCCGAAGTCGGACCCTGAACCGACTGAGCCACCCAGGCGCCCCGTAAACTTTACCAGGTTTTTAAGAGCACATCTCAGTTTCAGCGAAAATTCAATTTACTTTATCCAGATTGGAGCAAGTCCCCTCGATGGGCCTTCTCACCAGATGAGAATTCACACTGGGGGAAACGAATCCAAAGGAGACTGACATGAATCTCGAGTTCTTTTCTGATTTCCATTTGCAAGTGAATCCAGTGTTAGGTGTGTTGATTTCGTGTTTGGTTCATACTCTGAGGCTTGGTATCTCCTTGTGGGCAGAGCTTTGTAGCTGTTGTTTCTCTCCTATACTGTGCAATCTGCTGTTTGATATATGCATAACTGAAGGTTTGTGCAACTGTCTGTCCTCCATGCATCTCCCCACCCCCTCTGCTCTGCTTTCCTGCCACATGAAGTATCGTTGATTTTGTTAGGAAGAAAAGCCCTTTTAGAAATTGCCTATTTCATAAATTGTCTGGTGACACAAGGGGTTGAATGCTGCATTTTTGTCTCATTTATTTTGAAAACTTTGCTACTGAACTCACCTTAATCAATGAGCTCGGTGTTGTCTCCAATAAGTTATGTGTTGGATATATTGATTGGGAAGGATTTTAGAAAACCCGTCTGGGGTTTATAATGTCAGCAGTGTTTTGATTATGAAAAGAGTTGGAACCTGGGGACGTGGAACCAGGTGGCGAATGTCCTAAAGCCAGCGGTGACATGGTGGACTGGTTCTCTCCTGGGATCTAGTTCATGCCCTGCACTTTAACTGTGGTGACTGGCTACTATAGATGCACTTTTTTTGCTCATTAAAATGTTAAGAAATCAAACTGTACATAAAAAGATTTGTGAAAATATAAACTTGGGAATTGATCTGGAGAGCTGGCACGATTTTCCCCACCCCCTGCCTTAGCAATGAGGTCATTTACATTTCATCAGCCGTACTACATCTTGAAGATCTGATTTATGTGGCAGTAGTTGAGGTTGTACTGAGGCTGGTTGTCTGAAAGAGCTTGTGTAGGCGAGAGAAAAAGGGGAGAAAACAGGAAGATTACCATTTACAAAGAAAGTTCCCAGCCAAAGACACAGAGAGGGCAAAAAGGGGTTGCTAACTGCCTAGTGACTTTGGCCAGTAGAGTTAACATTGAAAGACACTCTGCCATAAATATAATGCTCAAAATATATTTATATCAGGGTTTTGAAGTCCCCTCTATTAGGGAGTGGTACTTTTCCTATCCAGGTAATTGCGTTTTTTCCTTTGGAAAAGGATGATACGGTAGTTAGATGTGTATATATAGGGAAAAATCAGTATTAAGAAAACTGGTCTATTTCAGCAGTTTTTATGTATGAGATACATTGCTTGTTTCCCCCTTCCCAAACTAAGACGTAGATTTTTCAGTTCTGATTGAGATAATGTGTGAATATGCCTAACACAGAGTAGATGCTCATTTTTGTTTTCTCCTCTGACAGCACACCACTGTCTTGTTTGACTTAAATTGGAATATCAAGCTCTTGTAATATCACAAACATGAAGAAACATATTGTAATGCACAAACATGTGCCTACATTTGCCTATATTCCCTTCCCTCCCCCCCTTCTCCTGCCCTATTGCTTAATTAGACTTATCACTGCTTTCTTGGGTAAAAGGAAAGCTCTTGGGAGGTGGGTTATACCCAGCCCACATTGGGTATTTTGATATTTGTTCTAATATTATCTGACAGACAAGTTCACGGTTGGTTATTACTCTTGACATTAGAAAGTGGTAAGTAGTTTCTATATTGTAGTGAGTAATAAGTTGGGCATATTAGATTCCTTTGACTCTGCTGTAGAGCACAATGCTTCCTCGGAGCCATGGGGGTCCTTTCTTTCAAAAATCTTGAGGCCTTTTGGCAGCTCCACTCCAGCATAGAGTAGAGAAGCACTTCTGCACCTGTCACTTCTGAGGGGAGAGGATAACTGTCTTTGTAGCTGATGTTGGCAGTGAGTGAGCACCGGGTACTGAGTTTTAAAGGATGCTCAGTACATATACTGAAGTCAGGAGATGCTTTGTGGTATCTGGAACTTGATGGGAAAGGAATTTGCAAGGATTTCTTTTTTGCATGTAAATCATAAGAGTTTTGTATACGTGGGTTAGAGTATGTTTTAGAATTAAGACCGCAGATGTTGAATGTTTTCTGTGACCGTTTTCCCAATATTTGCCTGATACTGACATTATGCACTAAGAAATGGCTCATTTTTTCTGATTCTCAATTAGCTTTTGCAATTCATTTAAACATGACTGGTTTTAAAACAATATGTATGGACTTCTGAATGCCACATTATGGAATTAACTGATGTGTCAGTGATGCCTCATAGAACATGCTGAAGTATTCTTATCCACTCTTTTTCATTTTTTAGTTTCCTCTGCCTTCACTCTTTCATGACATGCCTTAACAGTACTGCGATATACACAGTAGCAGTCCAAGATGATATTAAAAAATAGGATATGCTCAATTGAATTATGTAGGCGGAACATGCCTGGCAGAGCAAGTCAGTGTGCTTTCTGCTTCATTGAGTGGGTTATTAGATTGATGTGGTTTATTTCTTGAATGATAGAACTGGTTTTAAAAATAAATGAAGCGAGAAGCATCAATTCAGTTAGCATTGATAATTCATTATTATTGGTTAGAAAAGTGCTACATTTGTAAACTGATCTATAATTTATCACTTGGATTAGGATTTGCAATGGGCAGGTTTGTTTTAATTTGAACCAGCTTCTCAATGGCCGAACAATGTGTTCTTCATTTTGTCTTGAGGTTGGGATTTTAAATAGTTAAAGAGCAAATCAAATGCATGAGAGGAATACTTTTTTAAAATTTATAACGTTGGTCTGTGAACTTATGATAAGCACCAACTGTGGGCTGTCCAAGTCTGCAGTTAAATTAAGTCAAGCTAGAGAAAATTTTATGAAGGAAGTAATAATTAATTACTTGTATATGTGTTTAGCTATGTGTATATATGCCATATATGTGGAAATGTGTCTCTTGGGAAAAGACACACACACACACACACACACACACACACACACAGTGTATTGTGTCTTATGTAGTGGTGGTCTTAATGTCAGAAGCCTCTCCTTTATGAATCTTCACAATGTTGCTCTGCTTTTTATTCCCTTTTTGTACACTTCCCCTAAATATTATGTTTGGTTTTATGTACACGTTTGTAAAAAGGTATCTAATCTGGTAGTTTTCTTCGGATTTTCACAAATTACAAGCAGGTAAGTGTGCCCAACTATAATGACATTTAACTGAAAATAGTGCATACTTAAAATTGCTGGTGTTGTGATTACAAAATAAATCTATGCCAGAGATGGCAGCTTCTTTATAAAGTAAGTAAATGAAGTTTTAAACTCTAAAAAATGTAGTTGACAATGTTCAGGGACAATTACCGTCAAGTTGGCTTTCTCTTCTGCTTGCGATTTGGCCTATTGATGTAGGGAAGCGTTGTCTAATCCCGGCCCCCTCTGTTCCTAGGTAACAGGCAAAAACGGTGCCAGCAACAGCGGCCCTGCCAGGCCAAACCCATGTGGCTCGGTGTTATTCACTCTGATCCATATGGTCAGGCTGGAGATGGTCCCTGGAGGGGTGTTAACACTCAGCAACCCAACCGCCTCCCTCCCTTCAGAGCTTTCCTGCACGGCTCCTGCTGCTCGCCCATGTGTGATTCTTGATTAATTTTTCATTTTTAATGAAGTTTGATCATGTTTATTATTTCTCATGATTGACTGCCTGTACTCCTCCCATGTAATTGATAAAGCCCATATTTCTTCATCTGTCTCCTCTTTCTTTAGGGTAAAGTTGCTAGATTGTGTGCCGTGGTTAATGCTAGATTTATTGGTCCCATTAGATGTATAAATTATCTCTCTTTCTCTCCACAGGAAGTTCTACAGACTTTGACCAAGTTTTGTTTCCCCTTCTATGTGGACAGGTAGTGTCAGATTTTCAAACTTTACTAGAAAAAAAAGTGTCAATAAACCTGCTATGGAAAATAAAAACCACACCATTCTTAACATTCTGTCTGTTTAACCAAGATTTAAAACATCTATGTTTGAAGGAGAGTTGCAATATTCTCCTTTCCTGGGGATTTTATTGACACTATCAAAAAGTTTAAAGCTTAGAGCTTTGCATTGGTCAGTCTGTGAGATGTTTTTCACACGGCATTAAATTTTTGATTTTGGTTATCAGTCTCAAACCATGATTAAGAATGGTTGGTATTTATTCCAATGCTATTTAATTTTACTTAAATATGAATATATTTAACTTAAGCAAGCAATGTTGCATTATTCCATGGCCTTATGAATATTGTATAGACTTTGTTTTTCCTTGATTCAACTTAAAATTTAAATGATCACAGGCCTATCTTGTTTAAAGGTGTTCAGCTATTTAAAAGACATGTTGTTAAATAGCATCTTGCGTTTTAGGTGGCTAAGAATGGCATCTATGGGCAAATAAGCATTTTCTATAGCTTTCTAGACTAAAAACATACAAAACCATCTGAATATTACCTTAGATTTTGCGTTCTGGTAAGCTGTTGGAAAGGTATCAATATAAGAACTCCAAGATAATTAGAATAGTCCGAGGGTTAAGAAAAAAAAAACAAAACATTAGTTAATGGTAACAATTTTGGAAGAACTTTTTTTTTTAACTGTATAAAAACTATACTTGACTAACAATATTAATAAAGTGTCGAAGCAGTCTTCTTAATCTTATTTTCAAGAAATGTCTCCTGTGTGTTTCATTACAGTTTAAGCATTATTTTTGCAACCTACATTATGCCTTAAAAAGCCCACTTTTAGTGACAGGGCTTTTAGAAAATATCATTATAAGTAATAGCTGCCATAATGTGTTCTAAGGAAACTATACAATGGCCCATCTTCAGGGAGGTTCTGTCTTGTGCCCATGTGCCCATGTGTCTTGGGCACATTTTAGTGTGCCCAAACCAGGCAGGTCTGAAGGGTTTTGGGGGTTTAGAGAGCACGTGGGGAGTGTGCTGTTTGGTCTTCTCTACACTTGGTAGGAGGGGCGTTCCGCTTTGTTTGGCAGCAACCTGAAAATGGTGTGAGATGAGAATTGGTAGCCAAAGGAGTTTAAAAGAGTATTAAAAGGAAAAAGAGTACTAAAAAGCAGCACTGGAATGTTGCCAACTACTTATAATCACTATTTTCCCTGGTTCTAACATGTTATTTTTAAGCCAATCAGCCATTGTAGTGTTTCCAGACTTGGGCCTTTTTAAATCCTGGTACCCATGTTGTTTTAGCAGTGGATTCATGCTCAAAACAGAATAGCCTCAGTTTTAAGAGGGTCAGTCTTTGTAATGAGAGTCCTCTTGTCTCTTCTTTATCCTGTTCCTTCTTAAAATAGCAAGGAGGTAGGGTTTTCTTGAGAGACATTTAATGCAAACTTCACATTTATATGTATGAATTAGCGATGCATGAAATTTCCTCCAGTCGCCTATAAAATGTATTACAAATTATGGCAAGGGCATATTTATATAAATTAATAAAGCTGAGATGTTTTTATTTAAGTTTTTTTTTTTATTTTGTTTTTTAAGTTTTTAAAGTTTTTTTTTTTTTTTTTTTTTTTTTTTTTTTTTTTTTTTTGAAGTAATCTCTACACCCAACATGGGGCTTGAACTCATGACCCTGAGATCAAGAGTTGCACCCTTTGGTGACTGAACCAGCCAGGCCTGGAGCCCTAAAGCTGAAATGTTTTAAAATGTGGTTAGGAATCTAACAAAGAAAAATGAGAGAGCACGTTTTTACATGACTTCTTGTAGTGGTGATCAGTTTGGCAGAGGTATTCCTTAACTGACTTTAAAAGCGAACTTTGGAAGAAATGCACAATGTGATTAGATCCAGCCTCGTACGCCCCTCTTTTCCTCTCATGGCAACCACACCCCTCTACTTACCTACCTGTCTGGGTGATTACATTCTTGAAAGAAAGCAGAGTCTTTAAATAGTTCTAAAGGTTTTTTGTTTTGGTCACCAATCCCCTGATACCTTTTTTTCTGTTGTTAGAAATTTTTTTTTCTTCTAAAATGCTTCTCTTTAGATCACTCTCCCCTAATCAGGTTTCTCATATTTTTAAACAGAATGATTTGGGACAGACATGTCCCTTTATGGATCTGCTTTAACCCTTGCCTTGTATAATGGATCTTCTTTTTTTAATGTTTATTTATTTTGAGAGAGAGAGAGAGAGAGAGAGAGAGAGAGAGAGAAAGCATGAGTGGGGGAGGGGCAGAGAGAGGGAGAGAAAGAATCCCAAGTAGGCTCCACACTGTCAGCCCAGAGCCCAATGCAGGCTGAGTCTCATGAACTGTTAGATCATGGCCTGAGCCAAAATGAAGAGTTGGACGTTCAGTCGACTGAGCCACCCACGTGCCCCTGTAATGGTTCTTTCTTACATTTCATTATGTTCCACACCCTGTAAGTGTTGATAACTTTTATTGATAAAAAAAAAAAACCCACCTCACTTTATTTTGGGGACTGTGTTTTTTTCTCTTTCCCCACTTGTAACCTTTGCATACTTTAATGCCGAAGAGATAATAATGATGGAGTTTACTTACAATAAACACAAAGGTTTTAATGTTACTATTTTTTTTTATTACTTTGCAGTTGGCCCTGTCGAATGGATATGCCCAGATTCTGAGGCCCACAACCCCCCCACCCCCAATGTATTTATGATATCGTTTGCTTTAGAAAATATGTCAGCATGAGAGATGAGTAATGCCCTAGGTGATTATGTTCAAAAAAGAAAGCTTCCTAATCTTTTTAGTATTTGTACTTTTCTACCCCAAGGAACAGTAATACAACTTTCCGACACTTCTAGTCTATATCAAGAGTGGGATTTTCACAGTCATCATCAAATCACCCGTTAACATTGACATCTTACTGTCTCTTGTGTTGTTTTAAGATTTTTCTTTCTGAAACTAGGACTTATGAAAAATAATAATGCCAGTGGCTCTTCAAAAGAAAGTGCTTTCTCATGTGTTACCTCACTTTATCCTCCTATCCTAAGAGATGAGAACGGGTGCTATTATCCTCATTGGAACAAATTCTAAGCTGCAGAGAAGTTAGGATTTGCCCAAAGCCCCCTTAGGCTGCTGGCACAACGTAGATGTCCATCTCCCAAATGAATACATTTTTCTAGAACATTGTTGTGGGAGCATCAGTCACCAAACAGAGCAGAAAGGAAGGAAATTTGTATTTGAGCCCTTAATTGACTCTAGTCAGCGTGCTGGACACGTCCACACTGGTACTTCATTTGTTTCTTCTAAAAGATGGATGATGGTGGTATCTCTTTTACAAAAGAGCAAAGGAAGTTTCCAAATGTGTAGCCCTCTGTCGGGCGGCACGGAAATGGTATTGGACTTGGGGTCCCGCCCACCATGTGTTTCTCAGTGTAGTTCAGGAAGTATTACAAGCACGCGTTAAAGAGCATCTCTCCAAATGGACAGTGAGGTTAGAGAAGACTGAGATGGTCAGAGAAAACTTCTCACGGTGGGGGAGACGGGGGTTGAGTCTGCAAGGACAGTAAGAAGGGGGTAAGTGGAAGGGAGAGCCTCCCTCCCCATCTGTGCTGAAGAGCAAAGCAGAGGAGAAACCACGAGTGAGCCTAGAGCTTGCTCAGCCAGAGCAGATGGAGCCTGTTGGGGAGAGGGTGACGTGTACCGTGATAGCTTGGGCTCTGGCTACAGGAGGCCTTGAAAGTGTGTGGGAGCAAGATGAAATTCATCTGGTTCACACGTCCCATTTTACAGAAGGGAAACCAGGATTTGTAGAGGTGAAATGATTTGCTTATGGTCACAACGAAGCAATCACAGCTGGGAAAGAAACACATACTCTTACTCCTAGTGCAGAGTTATTTCCACCCTATGCTGTACTTGAGGCTCTTGGTGGAAAGGAGTCTTGACGTGACCTGTTGAATGGCTCAGTCGGTTAAACGTTGGGCTTCGGCTCAGGTCATGATCTTGCGGTTCGTGAGTTCGAGCCCCATGTCAGGCTCTGTGCTGACAGCTCAGAGCCTGGAGCCTGTTTCGGATTCTGTGTCTCCCCCTCTCTCTTTCTCTCTCAAAAATAAACATTAAAAAAATTTTTTTTTAAAAAAAGGGAAGAAAAAAGATTTATGTGCCACTTCATACCGTGGTGCTACTTGCTTGCCCTTGGTAGCTGGCAACCTGCTTCAATCGGAGCACTCAGGAGACTCGCTGGAGGATGGAAAAGCTCTTCCTTCCTTCCAGGTTTGTGCTTCTCCTCTTTCAGAACCCAGCAAGTCAGCTACCGTTCGATTGCCCTATAAATCATCCTGTACCCCAGTACACACAGATGACATGAGCAAGGATGAAATGACATGATCTTTTAAGGGTCAAGGGAAGGTGCAGTTTGTTGGTTTAGGATGTAACCAGGGATGCAGATGGGATTCACACGCTGTTTGCTGTTTTGTTATGTATCTGTTATGTGCCAGGCAGTGTGCTGTGTTCTCCTGCACTAAAGGTTTACACATTTGACAGCTTACCATCACCATAATGCCAAATATGAGGAAACGGGCTCAGAGAGCTTCAAAACCTTGCCTGAGGTCCCACTCCTAGTAAGTGGTAGAGCAGCTCTCAGAACCCACATTTATCTGACTTCCAATTCCACCTTACTTTTTCTCTATCACACCACCTCCATTAGATCCATCACACCAGAAATAAAGTAACCAGGGGCACCTGGGTGGCTCAGTTGGTTAAGTGTCTGACTCTTGGTTTTGGCTCAGGTCACAATCTTAACAGTTTGTGGATTCGGGCTCCGCATCAGACTCTCTGCTGACAGCACGGAGCCTGCTTGGGATACTGTCTCCCTCTTTTTCTGCCCCTCCCCTGTGTGCACGCGTGCATGCGTCCTCTCTCTGTCTCTCAAAAATAAACATTACAAAAATTAAAAAGAAATA